CAAACACTGATGATTTTATGATTAGTAATAATTATTAAGGAAAAAATTTATCAGGTGGCAAAAAACATGTTAAAGGTTAATAAAATATAGTCTTTTAGTAATTTTCCTCTGGTTGTTCATCATTATTAATGGTAGGCCATAAAATCAGCTCATTATAAAAAACATTTTGTCTTCTGGCACATATTGGACAAGTTTCTTGATGTTGTCCATTTTTTTCAAATTAATGGGGATTTTTTCTGTGTAAGCAGACTCTGTTGGCAAACTAGGACAAACTCCAGCTGGCTTTCCCAAGGAAAAAAATGAACGTACTTTAACAATTCCCGGTTTTTTGTTGTCATATTCGAACTCATTATATTGAGAAATTTGAAAAGTTGTTTTCTCATTTTTGGTTTTTTTCCCATAGGAATCAATGGAGAGTACGGTTTTCTTATAATGCATAGGCTACCATTTTTTGAGTTCCAAAATTGTTTCATTTTTTACCAGTTCTATAGAAAAAAGAGATTTTCTTGACGATTTTTTTATCAATTCGCAATATTCTTCAGGAAGAAAAATTCGGTCCTGCTTGCGAATGAGTGTTTTTGCTACCCGGAAGTCTCTATCGCATGGGAGGAATGAGTGTCCTCTGATTGGAAAATAATGAAAAATGTGATTAAATTTTCCTGACGAAGCAAGAGGCTTCCAACTTTTCAGATGATTGCGCATGCCAAAATAAGAATATATCTTATACATACATATATCTTATCTTATCTTATATCTTATTTTGGCATGCGCAACCATCTGAAAATATATGGACCTCTTTTATATTTTCAGAAACCTCATTTTCAAAATAGGTTTTTAGGAAGGTGCACACTTCATTGGGTCCTTTGTGGGCCTCGCCCTCGTGATAGGGAAAAAATTAGCTTCTCCTGTTTTTAAGTTGTGTATACTGAATTCAAAAACCCATAACTACCGATAATAAAAAATATTCCTAGTCTCGCGTCCGTCTCTGAAGAAAGTTTTTTAATCTGCTCTAGTTTTTTATAAAATTTCTTAGCTTTATTTTTGTGAACTAATAGTTCTGCAACAGCAACTCGTTTTGCAATGTCGTTGAGAGTGGTACTTTTAACTTTCTGGTCAAGTTCTTCACAAGTAGAAAATACATCAACTTGAGGACGACCAAAATGGAATGTAAAATTTTCATGAAATTACTTCAAAAAAAATCTGTATTTCACTTTAGATTCCGGAAATTTTTCGATAAACATTTTATGCATATGTTTGACATTCAAAGTAGCAGCAGGTAAACACTTTTTTAATATATTAGCATAATAGACTTGTATTATGACCTTTACATCAAACGATTGTATATGCTCATGTATTTGAAAGCACAATTCATCTGGTATTAAATTATGGCTAGATTTAACAAATTTACTTCCATTATCTCTTGGAGTGGATCCAGTCACTAGTAGATGGCATAATCTTCTGACATGCTTTTCGCCAACACCATATAAATTTAAGAAAGCTTTCTTACATACTTGCTTACGTACTCCTTTTAAACAAACATGAAACAAAAAACTATTGTGTCTCTCAATACGTTTAATGACATTCTGAGATTTTCTCTTTCTCTTAATGGGAGTTACTTCGATCATATTTTGTAAGTATGAGTCTTGTGAGTTTTTGTCATCAAAGTCATGTAACGACGTAAACAAGGCATTCTAGTCCATTTCCGAAAAATGTTCACAACACTTCTTACGACAAGTACAGTCGATACCAGTTTTTCGCGCCATAACTTGTTTTCCCACTTGATTAATATTTCCCTTTTCTACCTGCTTTGTGGTAAAGAACCTCCTACTGGCCAGCTGTAGTACTTGAGGATAAATCAGCGCTACCAAAACAATTTTTTTATAAATCGTGAAAAACGCAAATTGAATGCTTTCTGATGATAATTTATTGAAAAAAACTTTTATAACTTTATTTCAAATAAAATTGTCTCGAGGAGTGCATCCATTCCTTGCGGTCGCATAACTGGATAATTTTAGTTGTTATATTTGCAAAAATAGTAAACAGTCTGCGGCGTCGAGGCTTTCCATTGACCGGACTCATCGGCCAGACGGCCAATGACCGAGGCGCCCTGCCACCGAGGCTCCGCCCCCTCGTGTCTATATTCAAAGAGTTCCGAAAAATCTCGCTAGTATTCAACGATCGCCGGTTTTCAATAGTGACAATGGATAACGTACAAGAAAAAGATAGAACAACTAAATATAAAGTGAAAAAGACAGCAAATATTTGATTTCACGCAAACAACGCCTTTGTATCTGTTGATACGTATTTCGACCTAATAGGTCTCATCAGAACAGTTATTCAAAGGTTTTCTCAACGTGAAAGATCAATATTTTCTGCCTTTTAAGAAGCAACACTAAAATGGCTTCGATACGGAAACACAATTCAGATTTCCGCTTTAATCTGTGCTTTCTAAAAATTGCAAAGCAAAACAGACGTTGATAAAGGTGTTAAAACCCTTGGTGTTAAGGTGCAATGCTTTGCAATTTTTAGAAAGCACAGATTAAAGCGGAAATCTGAATTGTGTTTCGAAACTATTTTACGGAACTAAATATAAGTTATAGTTTATTCGTCTTCCGGGTTTGGACCGTGTCATTTGTGAGTGACCCAAAAGTGGGTTCATCTCGATGTTTCGCTACAATTGTATGTAGCTTCTTCAGGAGAACAAAGAAAAAGAAATCAAAAGACAGGAAGATGGGTAGTTAGCAACGGTAACTCAGTTACTCAACGCAACCAGAGGCGAATACTAACTACCAAGATGGGCATTTGGTCACAGTAACTCAACTACTTAACGCAGCCAGAGGTGAAAACCAAATGCCAGGACAGGGATTCACGTCCAACAGCTCAGTACACTAACGCGTCGAGAGGCGGGGGGTGAATCCTCTCGGGAGTGAGCCTCTCGACGCGTTAGTGTTCTGAGCTGTTGGACGTGAATCCCTGTCCTGGCATTTGGTTTTTACCTCTGGCTGCGTTAAGTAGTTGAGTTACTGTGACCAAATGCCCATCTTGGTAGTTAGTATTCGCCTCTGGTTGCGTTGAGTAACTGAGTTACCGTTGCTAACTACCCATCTTCCTGTCTTTTGATTTCTTTTTTCTTTGTTCTCCTGAAGAAGCTACATACAATTGTAGCGAAACGTCGAGATGAACCCACTTTTGGGTCACTCACAAATGACACGGTCCAAACCCGGAAGACGAATAAACTATAATTCTGACTCTGGCCGTGGAAGCCTACGATTTCATTTAAATATAAGTTTTTATAAAGTTATAAAGGATTCGTTTGCATCCGAAAACCCTCGACTTGCCACAAGGTATTAAAATCTCAATCAGAAATATAATTTGTGATATGTACAAAGCAAAAGAACATGTTACAAGAAAGACACTTATTCAAAAAATAAAGTACAGAGAACTTTGTGATATCAAGAATTCCGAATTTGCCAGACAATTTGTATTTCTTGACGAAACATGGATTTTTGCGAAAGGAAATAATACCAAATCATCCTGGCAAAATGATTCTACCAAATGCTATTCGAGTACTAGTGCGAGTAATGGCAAAAGATATATTATATTGCATGCAGGAAATACGGAAGGTTTTATACCCAATGCTAGTCTTATATTTTCTTCGACAAAAACAATTGATGATTACCACGGAAATATGGACGCCGATATTTTTGAACATTGGTTTGAGGAAAAATTATTAAAAAATCTGGAAAATCCGCCATTAATAGTCTTAGACAATGCTTCGTATCACACCAGAGAGGAGGAAAAGTTTCCCACAAGCAGCTGGAAAAAATAAGACTTAAGAAAGTGGCTGTCGGAGAAAAATATAGAACACGAACATCTAGTTTTAAAAGCTGAATTATTAAATAAGTGCAAAGAACACATTACTGAGAAAAAATTTGGAAGTTTTGGTTGTTTTAGTGATGCCCCACACCAATTGAATTGGTGTGGGGCATCACTAAAAACTACTATGATAAACATGCATGTAAGACCACCGACAAAGCCAGCGTTTTACAACTCTGGCAAGATGCACTAAACCAAGTCAATGAGGAACAATGGCGGAAATGTATTGAGCATACTGAAAAAAAAATTAGAGTCATATGAAATAGAACAAGTTATTGATGAAGTAACCTTTAATTATTCGTACAGATGAAGATTCAGATGAATCGGATAGCGAGTCAGATAGTGATGATACCTGTCCATAGATTAAGACGTAGATAGAAAAATTAACACAAAAGGGTATGTACTAACCATGAAAAAAAAAACAAAAAAAAATATAACAAGCATCAAAAAAATTAGATTAGCAAGTAAGGTAGATTAAGGACATGACTGGACGAATGACTGGGTATTAGACGACGGATGAAAGGATTCGATGCTTGCTCGCTCTCGACTGCACTTGTTGCAGAAAAGGCACTTTTATAAGTTAATTTATGACATTCCTGGACTTGCTGGATAGCCTTTTGACGAAATGTTCCTGGAGATGCTCTGAAAGCCAAAGTACATACTTGAACAGGCGAAAAGAATTGTGATCGATATCTGCCTTTTATTTGAAAAGAAATAAGATCGTAGAAATTTAACATCTATTGATTGTTTTTATTTTAAAACGGCTTTCCTAATATATAACAAAAAAGTATAAAATAATTATGGTATACTCCCAGCAAAAGATTTGGTACAAACTGATCATTGAAACGATTTCAAAACAAAATGCATAAAGAAAAATATTTCGCGGAAAAGTGAAATCCCAAAAAAATAAGAAATAACCGGTTATTTGTTTATTATTGCGAAAATTAGAGGTTTACCTTATCGACGAGGGCATCAGAAAACCACATCAATGCAAAACCCAGCTGATTAAAATAAGAAAAATGTTAAACATTTCAATGCATCGTCATTAAAAAACGTTTTGATAAGAATGATGCCTAACACTATAAAACGCCAACAGCGGAAAAGCGAGGTCAGTAGTTAAGACAGAACAGTGAGAGAAATACTATCAAACGGTTTGAAATACTCGACTGTTACGACATCACAAAGCCGGTCGATTTGAATTTGAGTAAATTTCTCTTTTACTTTTTCTGTTCGGTATTTAATTTGTTGAAAGTTTTTGTTAATTGTTTGACGAGTGTATTCAAAATGCCGCCAAATGTAAGTACCACATTTTATTAATTATTCACGAGATAAAAAACAAAGGGATTTATTTATTTATTTTTTATATTATATTTGTTTAAACTGTTAATAAATGTCCTGTATTTCCGGAATTAAACTATATCTTTTAGGCACTCCTAAGATTATACAAATAAAGTCCCTGCTCATCTTATTAGACTTAGCACTTAGTAAATTCTGATCTTCTTTTATTTCATAATTATAATAATTATTCTAAAAATGTTAGTTGTATATATTATAAGGATTACGTAAATGAAATATTAACCTTTTTTATATATTTTTTTATTTATTAAACAAACACTGGAAATTATCACATAATTTTACTACAATACTAATAATTTATTAAGCCACCCTTTGGGGCTTCTCAATTCTCAAGTGCAGTCATTCTCCTAAACGCTCTATTTATGCATCTTGCTGCTATTTTCTTTAAATGGCTATTATGGTTTCAATAAAAAATGATTCTTTTTATCAACTGACTCTTGTTTGTTATTGCTTCTTTGGCCAATTTTCTTTTTAGGCACCTGCAGACATTTTCGATGGGGTTCATGTCCGGTAAGTTGCTGGGTCATGATCATAGAGGAATTTCTGTATATAATACAGGATCCAACTTGTAAATACAATACATTTTGAAGACGGCTATTGCCGTATTCCCGTTCTCCTCTGCCAATACTCCCGGTCCAAGGCATGCTCTTCGTCCAAACCTCTCGATTCCATCGCTCTTCTAATTCCTTCATTCCTTCATGAGGGTCGAGGCCTACCTCTTTTTCTTCTTCCAATGGGCTTCCACCTGTGAAGTTTTTGGGGTTAACGTTTGTCAGGCATTCTCAATAGGTGTCTTAAACCATTTTAAACCTCTTCTTTCTATTCTGTCAATGACCTTTGCTGTAGCATTCGTGTTATTTCTTATACATTCGTTGGTCTTCCTTTTCAGTCTTGATGTTCTAGCACTTCTAAAATAATCCATTTCAACTGCCAACAATCTTCTCTTCAGGTCTGCATTAATTGTCCATACTTCAGAGCCATAACAAAGAACTGATTCAACCATGGTTGGCCTATTCTTTTTTATTCTTTTTGGAAATGTTGATATCCCACCATAAGGAGTTCAGACATCCTACAAGATTACGTGCCTGATTAATTCGGTTTCTCCCAAGCCGTTCTTATCAACGAGTACACCTAAATATTTAAATTTTTCCACTTGTTTGATTTCCACGTCCTCGTCTATCAACACTTCAAACCTTGCATCTGAATTGGTAACTAAATATTCTGTTTTCTTCATGCTGACTCTTGTAACCCCCATTTCACATATTCTCTGTATCGTCGCTTTTGTACTATGTAGTATTGTTTCTCTCACTTTCGGTGTTCTGTTTATAGTATTGTTTAAGGAGGCACAAAAGATTAGCTAAAAGAAAGTAGTGATCTGTCCCACAGTTAGATCCTCTATTTATTCTGCAGCCTTGGCACTTAAATTTTGATTTCTTTCTCATTATTATATAGTCTATGATCGACTTTTGTTAGAGTGAAGGTCAGTCCCTAGTGTATTCATGAATATCTTTATGTTGGAATTGGGTGCATTATTTTTAAATCAAAAAGTTGACATAGTCTTTTATATATTTTTTTAATGATTTTTTTTATAAGAATTGAGAGCCCTGATTTAGCCTGTACGTGTTTTTCTACTCCTGACCATATATGAATATAGCCTTTAATCTGTTCATTTCCTTGGCCTTTCTTTTTGGATTCAGAGATGATGTCCATTTTTTGCTTCATCATTTCAGTTAAAATTTCCATTGTCTTGTGAGTCATGCCTTGAGTGTTCCAAGTACCAATTTTTAAAGTCCTTTTCTTTACCAGGTGTCATCGTCGTAAGTTTCCATCCATATTCCGCGGCTAGGCGTTAGAATTTTTAGTCAAAAGGGTTTTTGTCAAATGATGAGTGACTGGTCCATCGCTCCAATCCCCAAGCTTGGAGGACCAGGATTTTCTGTTAGGGTTTCTTCCCTTAGTCGACATGTTCCAGTTTTAAGGCGCCAGAAACTCGCCTTTCACCCTCTCTCGGCTGCTATATAACGCACATCCATTGTACGCCATATACCCGGTTGGTTACGCGACATATATGTCTTTGAGGACGTGAGAGTAAGATTTGCTGGGAGAGCGGAGTTCTGTTTCCAGATCCCCCAACCCTTTCGTTGGGAAACGGGTGGACATTTCTCAGAGTTTTATTGTAATATAGGAGTCGACATCTCATATTACTCCTGAGGTCCATAACCAAACTTTAACCACCTTTAAGAGAAATTTATTTTCCCGTTAAAAAACTTTTAATGCTTTAAGTTTTATGGAAAGGTGCTCTATTCTGCATACAGACCTTGCAACCATTACCAAACCATTCGTTCATTTATGAAATTAATCTTAATTACTATTTAACTGGGAATAAGCCGCAATTAAAGATAAAAATACGTTTATTGACGTTTCAATTTCAATTTACTGTTTGTATTTTGAGAACGATTTCCGAAGTGGAAATTGAAACGTCAATAAACGTATTTTTATCTTTAATTGCGGCTTATTCCCAGTTAAATAGTAATTAACTTAAAATGCCACAAGAAAATAGCTTCAGAACGAAATTAATCTTGTCTGCAAGACTCTTTTAACTTGTCCTGTCGCATGGTTTCGTGTACCACATATACACGTTACATTCCTTTGCCACTTATTACAGATCAGATTATTGCTAATGTGTGATGTTTAATTGTTTAAAGACCCCTGATCTTCGAACAAATTTAGTGGTATCATCCATAATTTGAAATGTTGTTTTATCACTCAAGTAAACCTGCAAATGTGAATAAAAATTATAAAGTACAACAAAACGATTTATATTAACTTACTTTTTGCCAATCATCAATTAAACCAATTGGTCCAAACTGATCGTTTCTTGAGCATTTGTGGTGTTATTTTTGGTATTTTAACAGTCCTACGACATTTCAACCCCATACTGTATAAATTTCAGCGTACAGTAGCTACCGATATTGAACGCTCTGTTCTTCTAATGTATTCCTTATATTCTATGCGTGACACTTCTGTGTTTTACAGCCAAATTCTTTAAAACTTTTTGCTCTATGGGGGTGACTGAAAGCTTTCTGCCACACCGAGCTTTCCGAACCGACGTAATAGCACGTTTCTCTTTAAGTTTTTAACCTGCGAACTGATAATAAATGAGATACACCATATTTTCTAACTATTTCTCTTTGACTAAATGTTGTATTTTCTAATAGAGCAGTAGCAGAGATTTGTTCAACAGAAAGATATTTACATTTACTCATCTGAAAAAATTCTAGTCGGTCATTATTCGTCGTGTTTTATGATTAGAAATTAACCAAATTCAAAACTATCATTACTATTGAATTATATCAACATTCACCACTGCCAATTTTAAAAAAGTTGAACACCAAAATAATGATTAAAGCATTAACGGAGAAGTTCTGGATTTTTGTATGGAAAAAAGGGATGTTCACTTTCTTCATTGCACTATTTTACAATTGTTGTATATTGCACTTCATATGTATTTTTTTTCAAAATAGAGAGTGATACGTGATTTATGTATATTATTATTAAATTGTTTCTTTTAACATCTCAGTGTTTACCAAATACCTCGTGCAATAAGAGATAATTAAATAAAACATTTTATTGACATTTCGACATCCACATGAGAAATCAATTTCAAACGACTAAACAATTTTGTATCAATATATGGGAAACAAAACAAACTAATTATATAAAACATCTCGCTTATACTGACAATTAAACTAGTTTTGCCCAAAATCGGTCTTAGTCATGTTCTTGCGTTTTGACAAGACCATAAAGAGGCAAACACTGAGGGAGATGAATATGCACCAAAGATTGCTGACTCACGTACAGCTATAACAAAATTACGCAGTATTTCCAGTAAAATAAAAAGAAGTGAGATATTGAAGAGGAAGTTTCAGTCTGCTTGTGAAGCAGCTGACGTGCTATCAAATTTGAATCCCATACTCGACTGTTCAACCAGATGGAATTCCACACATGATATGATTGGATTTGGTTTAAAAGTGAGCGCTGGCATTAACATATTGTGCACACCTGTCACCGAATTGTTGAATGATTTTTAAATCACAGATAGTGAATGTCAAATACTCGACAAAATACATAAGGTTCTAATAGGCTTTAAACTTTCGTCAACGTTGTAGAAGCATATAACAAAAACGGCCTAAAACAAAATTGCAAGAAAAAAATAATTATCATTAGTAAGAACACCGGCATAAACGCCCAAATTACAAGTAACGATAGAAAGACTGGAAAAAATATGCTATTTGGGCCGTAATATTATATTTGGGATACTTGGGATCACAGCTACGAAATAAAAACTCGTATTGAAAACGCTAGAAGCTCTTTCAACAGCCTTAGGAAGATTCTCTACATCTTACCTTTAAGTATCAATATACGCATAAGAATTCTTAGATGTTACCTCTTTAGTGTCTCCTCTATGAAGTGGAAAGATGGAGCCTTATAGAAGATGCCATAAAACGATTGGAGGCATTTGAAATGTGGTGCTACCGACGTATGTTGAGAGTCTCATATAGACACCACACTTCTTCTTAGGGTGCCTGTCCGTTCCGAACGTTGGCGATCATTCTGGCTATGATGATTTTGTTGGTTGCTATACGAAATAGCTGTGTTGAGGTCTTTCTATACCATGCTCTCAGGTTAGCAAGCCAGGATATTCTTCTTCGTCCTGGGGCTCTTTTTCCTTCAATTTTACCCTGCAAAATGCATTGGAGTAGCTCGTATCTGCCTTGATTTCTCATTATATGTCCCAAGTACTCCAGCTTACGGCTCTTCACAATGTTGGCCAAATCCGCGGTTGTGTTCATCCTCCACAGTACTTCTTCATTGGTGACTTTGTCTGTCCATGGTATCTTCAGAATTCTTCTGTATAACCATAATTCAAAAGCCTGAAGTTTTGATAGAGTTTCCGCCTTCAATGTCCACGTTTCTACTCCATACAGAAGCACTGAGTACACGTAACATTTAAGGAGCCTTATTTTTGTTTTCAGGGTGAGGTCATGGCTTTTGAACACAGAGCTCATAGCCAAGAATGCACTTTTGGCCTTTCCGATGCGACATTTAATCTCTTGGGTATTGTCCCACGACTCATTGATTATAGTTCTCAAGTAATTGTATTGTGAGACACGTTCAATTCTCATTTGGTTCACATACATATACCACACAAGTAACATAATTACTCTCCAGAGGCTGAGAAAGGACAAAGAAATTATTAACACCATAAAAAATAGAAAATTGGCTTACTTCGGCCACAACATGCGTAATGATAAATACCGACTTCTACAGTTGATTCTACAGAGCAAGATTGAGGGTAAGAGAGGCCCTGGACGTAGACGTATATCCTGGCTGGCCAATCTTAGGAACTGGTCTAACATCAACTGATCTATTTCGAGCTGATGTGAATAGAATAAGATGGGTCAATGTGGTCGCCAACATCTCTAGAAGAGAGGCACATTTATAAGAAGAAAAAAACCAGAAGATACACTGCCGAAAGAAATCATTTACCGAAAGAATAAGACTTCAAGCACAAGTATTAATGGAAAAGAGAAGAAAAATGCAAAGTATTGGAAAATTACAGAACTGGAAAAAATTAGAGAGGCCTATGTTAAACTTTGGACGCAAAAGGCTGGATGATGATGATGGTGCTTACATTTAAACCTGTAATTATACAATTACAAATATAGAACTTGAAATGGGTTCTGGGCGACTTTATTTAAAGGTTATTTTGATTAGATATTTTTATTATATCGAATCAATACACGGTCTTTATCGAAGTTAATGAGTAATGAGTGATGATAATGATGAAATTAGTCATATATAGATAGTATTAAAATATATAGATTTACCTGGAAAACAATTACAAGTCACTTCTTAACAAGACAATTGAATAAAGTATAAACATTTTTCGATGTTTCTATTTCTTTGATTCTTAGTACAAATGCAGATTTCGTCGAAAAAAGGATCATCAACGTCGTTATTTTTAGTTGGTCCTTGTGCGTATGCATGTGAATATGCCATGCTGGCATATTCTTTATCTAATTACTATCGCAGATTCACATTACATAACTTGTCGGTTTAGTAAACATAAAATCGTGATATTCAACACACGCTTAGATTGATACTTCAAGGTTGGACAAGTTTTTATGCAGTTCTGATTACCAAATCATAAATGGGGATTTTATCATGACAAATTGGCCAACAAATCTAAACATAATGTATGTTATTAATTATTAAACAATGCAAGGAATTGTTTATATATTTTAATTAAATTATCTGCTATAAGCCTATCTACAAAACAACAATGCAAGAAAGGAATGTATGAGGAACTGGCATGTACGGAATGAGGAATGTATGGTCTGACTAAGCCACCTGACACTAAAAATACCTGACACAAAATAATTTTGATTTTGTGATGAAAAAATATCTAGAATAAGAATAATTAAAACTTAAAAGAAAAATCATTAAAATAAATAAAAGAAAATATAGGAAATATTTAGAAGGCTCTCACCAAAATAACTTCCTCCCCCTCTATCCTTTATCCTTCGTAAGGATGTGGTAACGTTATGATATTTGACGAATGGTTGCTATCCATTCTTCTCTCTCCTGGACGCGGTGTGCTGCCTGAGACAGAGAGTAAACGGCAGCGCACTTTATTTGGTCTGACCATCGGAGTGGCGATCTTCCTCGATTTTCTTTTACCATCTACCTTGCTTTCAACCACCAAGTTCTCCATGCGTTCCAGTCTGGTAATGTGTCCAAAGTCAAAAATAACTTATTAACGGATAATTGCCAATGTTTGGCTGTATAAGCACTATAGTTTAAAATAACTTACAATGAAGTGAAAACTATTATAATTGGTAATTATAAAATAATAAAAATATCTAAAACGACTACAATTTTCAAAACGTTTTCGGTCTTCTCAGACCATCATCAGTAAAACCTCAAAATAAGCAATTCCACTTTAATATAATAACCAAAAGGGGTGAAATTTTGACTGTTATCTTAAAAAACACTCAATATTTTTTATATATTGTATCTTTATGTATTAACAGGTTAACAATTAAATTTGACGGATATCAACAAGTAGAACAAGCCGGATTTAGAAAGGGCACAGCATCTGTGACCATCTATACTTTAAAAATCATAATAGAAAAGACTAACGAATACAATCTCCCATTATGTCTGGCTGTTATAGATTATGAAAAAGCTTTTGAAAGCGTAGAACTGTGGGCAATAGGAGAAGCATTAGTTAACAACCGAATCGACTCCAGGTACAGAATATTAATACATATTTACGAACAAGCTGAAATGATAGTGACGTTGGGTAATGCAATCAAATCAAGACCAGTAAAAATCAACCGAGAAGTAAAACAAGGAGACACATCTCCAAAATTATTTGCAGCTGTACTAGAAGATATCTTGTAAGTCAATAGACTGGGAAAATAAGCGAATCCCTATTAACGGAAAATACTTGAACCGTTTTAGATACGCAGATGATGTAGTACTAATAGCCGACACGTGGAATGTACTGAATACGATAATTGATGAGCTACATACAGAATCCCTAAAAAAAGACTGAAAATGAATATCAGCAAAACTAAACTAATGTCAAACAAAGATGACAAACCTATGATAAATATCGAAGGGACAGAAATAGAACATGTAGATGAATTATACATATCTGGGTCAAAATGTCAAGGTAAGCAAAGAAAATCAGACTACCAAAAGTAGACGTGTAAAAATGGGATAGGCAGCATTCGGAAGACTCTCATACGTAATTAAAAATAAAAAAAATACTTTAAAGACTGAGAACCAAAGTGTTTAATGTCTGTATCCTACCTGTACTTACATATGGAACTCAAACCTGGACATTCGCTAAAATAAACACGGAGAAGATCAGAAAAACCCAGAGAGCTATGGAACGACAGACGCTGGGTATCTCACTCAAAGACCATAAAACCAATGAAGACATTCCTAATAGAACAAAAGTAAAAGATGCTGTCGAAAAGGCAGCTAAACTGAAATGGAAATGGGCTGGACATAACGAACATCTTACGGATGGTCGATGGAATAAAGAAATCGGGAATTTGCGGCCATATGAAGCCAAAAGACCACACGAGGAAGACCGCAAATGCGATGGAGCGATGATAATAAAAGACTTGCAGGGCCAATGTGAAAAAGTCTTACAAATAACAGAGGTGAATGGCTTAGAGAAAAGGGCTTAAAAAAATCTTTCTGTATATAATGTTTTCTGTTTAATGTTTTCTATGTACCTATTATTGTATTTTTGTGTATATAATGTTTTTTAAATTAACAGTCAAAATTTTACCCATTTTATTCATTATATTAAAGGGATTACTTACTTTCAGGTCTCACTGATGATGATCTGATAGAAAATTGTAATCTTTTTGGATATTTTTATTACTTTAGTAATTTTACAAACAATGTAATTACAATAGAAGTAGAAAGACGTTTGAGATTTAATTTCACTACAGGGCTCCTGCATCCGCCTACGTATTTCGACCTTATTATTTTCGAGTACTAGAAATTAATTCAATTACAATTATAATTACAAATAATATTTGGCGTGGTGGTTAGTCGTTGTGGAATGGATATTATAGATTCCCCTTATCAGTTAACTCATCAATATGTCTGCTTTGTATGTTGTTTATTCTGCCAAGTAAGAAATCTTCAAATTTCTACTATGATTTTAGTAAAAGTTTGTACTTCATTACTTTTTTTTATCACCAAAATGTCAGTAGTCCTAAAGAGTAACAGTACTGTTACGTTCTTCTGTGGCTTGAGGAATTAAGTGAAGTTAAAGTAGTTTAACTAACTGTATTTAACTCACTTAACTACAAAAGAACTCACTAAATATCAAATATCACATAAATAATAAAAATACACTAACGATTATCGCTTACAAAAACATTTGTCTAATTACTGTCTATTCAAACGGCGCCGAGCAGTCTATATACACGAACATCTGTTCTAGATATAACCAGCGAAGGTACGAATGCCGAGTCGGCACTTTAACACGAGATAACAAAGTTCGAGAACTTTGCCGTCAAAGTGGTTAATTCGACTTCTAGAAATACTCTTACGCCAGAGTAGTAATAAGAGGGTTCTGAATCATAACAGTATTAAGAAATGAAGAATCAGTATTTAAAAACCAGAATAATTTTAACAAAAGCAGAAGATATAGTCGGTTTCTGAATTTTCATTTGAAGCAACGTCATCTATGGATTACGCAGAGAACTTTAGATTACTTGGTGAATGTATTTACACTTTCTAATAACTTTTTTACTGTTTTCAGGTAACAAGTGTTTCTACTTCATCTCCACTAAAAGTAGCCATCATTGGTCAAAGTGCCTTCGCTGTCGATGTCATGCACAAACTAAACCAACATGGACACATCATTGTAGGAGTTTTTACTATTATGGATAAGGGAAAAAGGGAAGATCCTTTAGGTACGTAGGTATTTTTGCGTCTTTTGTAAGTTTAAAGTTTTTGTAGTATTTTTTATACGTGAAATATCTAACACAACACCGAATGGGTTGATCACAAGTCACTTATAGCAAATTGAAAATTTCACTCAATATCTAGAAACTAAAATGTGAAATTAATAAATCCGTAAACTAAATTTTCGAAACCAATTCAGATTTCTGCTTTAATCTGTGCCTTCTAAAAATTGCAAGGCAAAACAGACGTTGATAAAGATGTTAATAGAGACATGGGGAATCTAAAATTTGCATTGCACGACATATCTCCTCAACTTAGCAAAAATCCTTAGCGAATTGGTTATATAAATAGCTGTTTTGATGAGCCCTATTAGGGCGAAATACGTATAAGCAGATACACAGACGCATTGTACGTGAAATCAAATCTTGACTCACTTTCTTTTTATAAAATGAATAGTTGTGGTTTATTCTGCATGCCCATTATTTACTACAAATGGTTTCACTAACACTAAAAACTACATTTCAACTCTTCAATCCTTTGTGTATCCTGAATAATTTCAAAATTCGTCGCCTTTTTGTTCAGTTTCTGACCACCTATTGCCATCTTCTAATTTTTAATACCCGTAAGTTGGTCCCAACTCTATCTAGCAACCCAAGTCGTGGTCGGCCTCGCTTATTATTCCTACAGATATTCGTGTGGTTAGTTTTTAAGCGATAGTGTTGTCACGCATCCGTATTATGTGTCCAGTTCATCTGAGTCGCTGAGTTTTAATGAGCGTTACGACGTCTGGTTGGTTAAATAGTTGGTATCATTCGAAGTTATATCTTTTGGGCCACTCCCCTTATAGCGTAGACAAAAGAAGACAAATATGTAAATCCATACTAATCAGTCCCTTTCTCTTTAGCTAAGGCTGCAGCTGAAAATGACATACCAGTATTCAAAATAAAACTATGGCGAAGAGCCGGAAAGCCTATACCAGAAGTACTTGAACAATACAAAAGCGTGAATGCTGACCTCAACGTCTTACCATACTGTTCCCAGTTTATTCCGATGGAAGTGATAAACTACCCCAGACTAAAAAGCATCTGCTACCATCCATCCATCTTACCCAGGCACAGAGGAGCAAGTTCCATCAATTGGTGAGTTCAAAGTATATTTTGAGTGCAAAAAATGCCATTAGTAACTAAAAATTATTATTTAGCTGTAGTTCTTGCATATATTTTATTCAAGAAAGGAAATGGTATAAAAAACTGTAAAATATTCATTATTGTTTTATTTTCAGGACCCTCATCTGCGGCGACAAAAAGGCAGGCCTTACCATCTTCTGGGCTGACGACGGTCTAGATACTGGGCCAATCCTCCTACAAGAAGAATGCGACGTTCAAGAAAACGATACGGTAGATACTATTTACAAGAGATTTTTGTACCCAGTAGGTGTCACTGCAGTAGCTAGAGCAGTAGACATGGTCGCTGATGGTACTGCTCCTAAAGTAGTTCAAAGCGAAAAGGGTGCAACATATGATCCTATGCTGAACAAGCCTGAGTTACAAAAGGTAACACTACTATTATAAAAAATATTTTTTATTAGATCATATCTAATTATATATTTTCCACAGATCGACTGGAATAAAACAGCTCTCGAAATCCACAACTTCATCCGTGGTATGGACTCTGTTCCTGGAGCTAGCTGCTTGATGAAGCTGCCAGACTCAGAGGAATACAAAGAAGCTTTGTTGTTTGGTTCGTCGTTATGGAAAACAGCAATACCTATTGGAAAAGAAATCCAGATCGAAGGTACTAAACCAGGAATTATTCACGAGGAGGGTTTGCTGTTGACAGGATCTGATGGAGACTACATAAATGTTAAAAGAGTTAAAGTAAACGGTATGTAGGATAAAAATTGATGGTAGATTCTTTAGTATATTTCAACTTTTTTATTAGCTTCTTCTTCTTCTTCAGATGCAAATCCACTAATGGATGTTAGCGATCACATTTTCCATTAACTCTCTATTTCTTGCAATATGTATCAGAGATTGTATGTCGTTAATCCCTGTCCATTGCCTTATGTTTCGGAGCCAGGACATTTTCTTGCGTCCCATTCCTCTCTTGCCTTCAATTTTACCCTCGATTATAAGTTGGAGGAACTGGTATTTTTCATTTCGCATGATGTGGCCTAGATACGCCGTTTTCCTTTTCTTGATGGTTTCGAAAAGTTGGCGTTCTTGGTTTATTCTTTTAAGGACATCTATATTTGTGATTTTCGCTGTCCATGGTATTTTTAGGATACGGCGATAAAGCCACATTTCGAAAGCTTCCAATCTGTTTATATCTCTCGTTTTGAGTGTCCAGCCCTCTACGCCATATAGCAGCACTGACCATACGTAGCACTTAGTAAACCTTAGTCTCAGTTGAAGATCGAACTCAGAACAAGTCAGTACCTTCTTGAATTTTACGAAAGCTTGTCGAGCTTGCTCAATGCGACATTTTACTTCCCTGTCCGATGCCCAGTCTTCAAAAAGCCACGATCCCAGGTATTTAAATTTACTCACTCTTTCTATGGATTTACTATTCAGTGTTATGGTGCAGTTTTCAAATGCATCCAAGTTTCTGGAGATGATCATGAATTTGGTCTTTTTGGTATTAATCTCTAGTCCCATTCGCTCACTGTATTCTCCGATTATAGTGACAAGTTGTTGAAGATCGACTATGTTGTCACAAATTAAGACACCATCATCAGCATATCGTATGTTGTTGATCAATACTCCATTCACCTTGATTCCCATCTCTGCATCCTCCAAAGACTCTTGAAATATGGCTTCTGAATAAATGTTAAATAAAAGAGGGGAAAGCACACATCCCTGTCGAACGCCTCTTCTTATATGTATGGGCTTAGATATAGAATTGTCTATTTTTAGCTGTGCCGTTTGATGCCAGTACAAGTTTTCAATGCATCTTATGTCTTTTTGGTCTATATTTTTATTAGCACCTGTAGTGATATTATTTTCAGATTACCATCTCCTATATATTTTATACTTAGTTCATGGACGTTTATTAATCTGTTAGACCTACGTTTTTGTGTTAAATTCGAAATTTATTGAAACCACCTTGCAACAAAGGTTATTTTCTTATGTGCATATCTGATTTATATTCTTCAGTTTCCTTTTTATTTAGGGATATTGCATGTTCCCTTAAACGTTGCCTCTTATTCCTCTTGCTGTTGTTTTTATTTTTACCTGTTTCTTTCTCCACATTGTTTTATTACAGCGTCCTGCTATTGCTTGTACCATCATTTCTTCCTTAATATTGTCTCTTAATTTGTTGAATCCAATCCTCAAGGTATTTATTTAATTGTGTTACTTGTTCTACAAGTATCTTGTTGGTTTTCAAACTCAAGTTGCTTTTATTGGTTCTTTTGATATTGCTAGACTTTTGTTTTTATTTCAATTTTCATGTTGAATTCCTTAGCTGTATTATATCAGCCTGATGTAATATTCTTTATAGATAACCTTTATTCTTCGCTATTAAAACAACGTTGAAGGGATAGCATATTATCTCACAGCTATTTTTAAAAATTTCAAGATCTTACTAAGCGTGATTGTTAAATATTGTATCAGCTGTGGTCTGACATTTTTTATTAGCTCGTTTGCTTTTCAGTCTTTTCCCAAAGTCTTTCTATTTTTTAGTTTCACCAGGACTTCTTTTAGGTCTTTTTCTGTGATTTACGTTATTTTTTTATTTCTGACCTTCAGGTGTTGTGTTACTTTTCGCTATTAAGTTCATTTGTTCAAGGTGTGCTTTCCACTTATCTTCGACAATATCTTTGGCATCTATCAAGACATGCATTCTCTATAAATTTATATTAAGGTCAAGGCCATGTGTTTTTTACGCAATAAAAATATGTTTTGCTAAGGACGCTTTAAAAATAGAGCTTTTGAAGTCATTCAAGTCAGATTACCCTAGATATCTTACAAATTAACAAAATAATCAGAAATATTACAAATGTACAAAAATAGGCATAAGGCATTCACACCATACTCATATATGTACATATTAAGATTCTGTAGCTCTTATTCTTAAATATTGTTCCATTTTATTCTAGACTATTGATTGATTAAAATTTAGTTTATAAAATCATTAGTCTTCCAAAGTATTTGTTCGTTTCCGTTGCTTTTGTGTTATATCTACCTGGTACTCTACAAGTCGTATAGAAAATCATTTTGCCCCACGTTTTATCTTCTTTAATTGACACCCGGTACGTATTTTTAGGTCGCATGAAAAACGCTTCAGTATTAGACCAAATTACTAAACAAGTAGAGATTGAACTAACCCCAGAAGAAAAAGTATTAATTGAATCAGTCAGGGCCGTCTGGGAGGCCATCTTGAACATTGATATTGAAGATGACACGGATTTCTTTGCAAGTGGGGCTGGATCTATGGACGTCGTCAGGTAAGTGACATATTTTCTGTAGCCCAGTCAGGATCGGAAAAAAATTAGCTTAAGTTGGTTGTAGGGAACCACAACTTGGATTTTTGTAGAAATTTTGTAGATTATTCGAAATGAAATTTTCTGTTCAAATATGCTTGTGTAGAAAAAAAAATCTAAAACCTTAAAAAACCTTTGTGAAAATCCTCTAAAAAAACATAAAAATAACTTTTTTAAAATTTGCTTATTACTACAGTCGTCAAAGATTTGACCTCTAAAAATCATACGAACAAGCTGAATTTTTCTGAGAATATCAATTTTGACACCCCAAGAAAGATGCAAAAAAGTTTCAAACATTCCCACCCCCGGCTTTTCCCCAAAAGGCCCCCTCGTAAGTAGGAAAACGGAAAAAAATCGATTAACCAAGAATATGTACGCTGTAGAAAAAAAAAATTTTAATAAAAAATGTAGCTGAGATAATTTTGAAATAAAATATGTATTAGCAGTTTTTGTGTAGAACGAACCGTTCTCTCAGAAACAACGCTTGAATCGACCGGCGATTTTGAATGTCAGTTATGCGCGCGAAATCAATTTTAAATAAAAAAAACTCAACTTATCAACTCAACGTAAAAATTCGATATCTGCAGCTTTCGTATTCAATTTTTGTATTTTACCGCAAATAAAGTTAGTTTCTATAAATATATACAATAGATAAGCAGTGTGCGATATTTGCCATTTTTTACTATTCTCAAGAAATCAATAAAATTTATCACTTTCATTGACCGGTCGTAGTGGAATTTCCAGTGTTAGAGCCCAATCTTCAAAATCTATAAAATTTCGATTTTGAATTTTGGCAACAAATGTGAAGCATGTGAAATATGCATAAAAAAGCAGAATTTAAACTTATACGTTACTATGACCGCAGGTTACAGGAAATTACTCCACAAAGACGGTATTGGCACAGAATAATAAACAAACAGAATACCCACTCTTCACGGAAAATTAAGTACGCGCATCTCCTCCGCGCAGACGTTCCGCCATGTTTTAGGAGGATTTTAAAGAAATTAGTGTTGTTTATGTGGTGTGCATGGAAAAATTAACCAGGTTTATTTGACTTACGGCAATCATAGACATACTATACAATTATATTAACATTGTTAAATATAATAACATAAATATAATATAATTAAACATAAATATAAACAATTACATAACCACACAAATCCTATGTCTGTGTCCTCCTAAAACATGGCGCGCGTGCTGAAAAACTTCAAAGGCGGCATCTGAGAGTGGCCCTTCTGATTGTTTATTATTCTGTGGTATTGGATAGAATTTGTAGCTGAAGTTATGTAGTTTCGAAAAAGGTACGTGTGTAATGGAAAAGAAACAGTTTTAGATCGTTTCTAATGTGAAAGTTTAAATTCATCGTTTTTTGAGAATCAATCAACAATGCCTTTTTATTTCTCATTAAAAAAATACAATACAATATTCTCTTTTAGTGACATTCGTTCTCCTTGACACATACCATCAGAAGGGTTGGCAAACAAATATTATTCTCTAATATACAAAAAATTACACTAAGGCTAATTTTATCTAACAAGGCCATTAAAATTAATAAATAATACTTCACCCTAGACTAAACAATAATAACAATTCATGAATGTTTTGCTTGTGTGAGTCCATTTCAAATAGATAAAAGAGATAATAAATAAGACTTAAAATCAGTTTAATTTAACTATCTACACGACCGGTTTCGCTTTCTACAATATGCAAAGCATCTTCAGGTCTCTCGATACAAAGTTAATTAAATGCTGAAATAATAAAACCTATATTAGGGTGTTGTCTTATAAAGATAAATGATATAAATTACAGTAATTATGCCAATATTACATGTCTGTGGTTTTTCTAAAAAATGAATAAACTGTGTAGGCAGACAAAGTAAGACCAACAAATTGGTATAAAAATAGTCTATTGAATTGTAATAAATTAGTAAATAAACAAAAAATTACTGCCTTAGACATGCCGGTACACAATTAATTAATGGTTGGAAGAACATAGGTCAAACTATCCTGTATTGCTGAATGGAGAATTCTAATTTCATTCATTGTCATGCAACTGTCACCTTAATAAAATTTTAATAAATAACACTCATTTCATGAATATATCTCTTGAATAAATATAAATAACTTTTAAAGAATTAAATAATACAGAACATCACTTTCATTTAATAAACAATCACATTACACCTATTTTCTACTTTTTTGGATAAAATCTATCTCCCCAAGAAACTTCTCCGTTTAGTGTCAAACAATTACAATAGTAAAAACTGAAGTTCTCCATTCAGCAATACGCGATAGTTTGAACTATGTTCTTCCAACCATTAATTAATAGTGTACAGGCATGTAAGTAATGTTTTGTTTATTTACTAATTTATTACAATTCAATAGACTATTTTTACACCAATTTGAGGGTCCCTCTTTTTCTGCTTACACAGTTTATTCATTTTTTAGAAAAACCACAGACATGTAATATTGGCATAATTACTGTAATTTATATCATGTATCTTTGTTTATCTTTCTAAAGCGAAACCGATCGTCTAGATAGTTTAATTAAATTAAACTGATTGTGAGTAAGTCTTATTTATTATTTCTTTTACCTATTTTAATAATAACAATGTATAACAGTACGGTGTAGCTTGCATTTAAAATGAATGAATCTGTCCCTTAGAGGGAGTGAAAGCTATTTATATAATGATAATAATAACAAGATAGTTAAGATAGACAAGACAGATAAAAAGATAATTGCTATACGCAAACAAATAGGCTCACTAACTCATACCTACATAACCATGCCTCCCTACAATAACCTGCTAAGTCCCTGTCTCATCATAGTTTTTGAATATTTTTTAAAGTCTTAAAATTGAGATTCTAAGCAAAATTCAACTTGTTCATACAATTTTTAGAGGTTCGTTGGCATTTTCGTCTCTGAAGACTGGAGTATATGGGAAATCGGAAAAATCTCTTCACATTTTTCTTTATGCCATTATTTTGGAAGTTACTTAATTTTTATTCAAAATATCACAAGCATGTTCTGATGGGAGTTTCATTTCTGGCACACTTCAACCAAGTGTGACTAAATTCCATAAGGCTATAGTGACACAACAAATATACTAAATCATGAAATATATCCCTTGAAGAACATTGTTTTTTTCTTTTAATAGATTAGTGGAAGAGGTCAAAGAACTATTTAAAACAGAGCTAGAAAATGAAGATGTTTTTATGGCGCCAGTATTTTCCGAGTTTTGCGTGAATGTTGTCCAGAAAAGTCGTGGAGGAAAAGGCGAACTCAAAGTAGAATACAGAGCAATAGAAATGGAGGCAAATAAAATGAAGATTCGTTTCCCTTGCCAACTATTTATTAACGGAGAATTCATGGATGCTGAAGGTGGAAAAACTACTCAAACTGTAAATCCAGCTACAGAAGAAGTGATTTGCGACGTAAGTTAAAATAGGAGTGTTCTATTTATATTTTAAAAAATTTGTTAATTTATCATTATGTACAAATATATAATTTCTTTTTAAACTTAAAAAAAGGCTTAGACTATCCAATCTCTGTTAGTGTATATACATGTACGTGACTCATTTATAGTAAGAAGATTTTTGTTGTCTTTCAGGTTCAGTGTGCTTCCAAAAACGATGTCGATAAAGCAGTAGCTGCTGCAAAGAACGCGTTTGAAAACGGCGAATGGAGTAAGATCAGCGCAAGGGAAAGGGGTCTCATGCTCTTCAAGCTTGCTGATTTAATGCAAGAATACAAAGAAGAACTAGCTACAATAGAATCGATTGATTCCGGAGCTGTGTATACTTTAGCTCTAAAAACTCACGTTGGTATGAGCATTGAAACGTGGAGGTATTTCGCTGGATGGGCAGACAAAATTGAGGGGTCTACGTTGCCAGTATCTCACGCGAGACCTAACAGAAATCTCTCGTTCACGAAGAAAGAACCCATTGGGTAAGTTGCTTTATAATTTTTTGTTTATTGAAAGATTATAATTTATCACAATTATAATTAATCCGACTCTAAACCTTACGTCTTACTTATATCGTAACTTATTCATCATTCTTTTAGTGTCTGTGGATTGGTTACCCCATGGAATTACCCATTAATGATGCTTTCGTGGAAAATGGCTGCTTGCTTGGCAGCTGGAAATACCGTAGTTATTAAGCCTGCTCAGGTTTGTCCTTTAACAGCATTGAAATTCGCAGAATTATCAGTAAAGGCTGGAATTCCACCAGGTGTTATCAATGTTGTGACTGGCTCGGGTAAGTTTTGGTTGATTTATCATCATTTTATCAAATGTCTTGTTGAAATTACTAAAAAATGTGTGTTAGACCTTTTAACTTCTTCAAAACAAGTATTATCTGTTAATTTATATTGACAAATTGGAAATAATATTATAGTATAATAAAAACTTATGTGTTTTTATATAAAGCAATTACCAAAGAGGAAACGTCAAATTGGAATATTATTTTATTACCAAAAAAGTATTTAAAATAAAAACAGAAATTACACGAAGATAAAAGTGTCATAACAATATTTTTCATAGTGTCTTATTATTGATTAATACATATCTTTAGGATCTGTTGCTGGTCAAGCTATAGCGGATCATCCTCACGTCAGGAAATTGGGATTCACAGGAAGTACAGAAATAGGACAAGTCATAATGAAGAGTTGCGCACAATCAAATTTGAAAAAAGTATCTCTAGAACTTGGAGGCAAGTCTCCATTAGTTATATTTTCAGACTGTGATCTTGACAAGGCAGTAAGACTGGTAAGTTACATGTTATTTTTAATAATTGTTGAGTTTTAGAGATCACGAAATTAATAATTATTTTCTTAAAATATTTGATGATAATCTTTTTTCGTCTATTTTTCTCAATATATTATTTAAATATTTGATTATTGGTTCCAGAACCCTTTACGCATCTTGGTCTGCTCTAAGATGTACTTCCATTTAGATTTATTATGCGCTTTGTATTTTTTATTTGTTATATTCAAAATCTTCAGGTCCTTTCCACTTGTTTCAAATACGTGAATCTGAGACTCACATTTGGTCTTTTTTGCCGTAAGTGATGTAATTTACAAAACCATTACCAAATATCGTACAAAGCAAATGTATAAACTACAAATTTTAAGTTGACACAAAAATATTTGTTTCTGTCTATTTTGTCCTTGTATTTTATTGTTCTATTTTAATGCAAATTTAATAATGTTAGTACTAACAGTAGTAATTAGTTGGTACTAAAATAATTATTAAAATTATTGATTAGTAGTATCCTTATTACGCTAGGGTTTTCGAGGACCAGGTTTCATGGTCCTCGAACCAGGTTTCTTGGTCCTCGAAATACATTTCCTAATACATCATCACAACAATTTTCAAACAACCAACACGCTATGATCTATTCTGTCAAAAACCAATATAAACAACACACAAGAGATATCAAAGAACTGCATCTATAAAATACCTTGTAAATACAACAATTTTTATATGGAAGAAACGTCAGGCCACTAAATTTATTTACGTGCGATACAATACCGCGAGACCGGACTTCTTGTTGACTGCCTTTTCTAATAAAATCCATATTATTTATATATAATACCGCCAGACCAGAAACATCTGGATATAAGTCGATGACCTTCCACCCATTAGGAGGTGACTCATTCAACTACACTAGAGAAGTCGATCGCATTCTGGTAAATTCAGAGGGTAGTCGCCGACGGCATTCTTAGTACCTGGACTGGTTATTCGACCCTTTTTTTGACCTAGAACATTCGTGAATGAGTAAATATATTTACAGTTTTTATACGTCATAATATTTATTATTGTAACAATATAGTAGTCTCTCATTATAACGATTTCCTATATAAGGATAATTCCCATATAACGATGAAAATAGTAACCGTTGTTTGGTTCGTCATAAGGACAATATATTAATTCTTTCTCTTACCGATATCTATAGCGATGACTTTTAAGCGTTTAATAGTCAATGGCAAATGTGTTATTGTGTTTACACCCCAGACTACTTGAGTCACTAGTGGCAATGTCATTGTCCAGCAGTTTTTTTGTTTCGTTAAGGAATGCGGCCACCCTGCCTACATGTTGTTATCCAATTGTATACAGTTTTTAACTGTACAGTAATTTTTTAATACTGAATATAATAATGCTTATATTATTGTTCAATAACAAGAGGCAAAAATGGATGACAGAAGAAATACTATTACTAATGGAAGAACGACGAAGACACAAGAATAACCAAGATGGCAGCAATATGTATGAAAACATTAACAGGCAAATAAAAGCAAAAATAAGAATAGCAAAAAATGAATGGCTTAAGCAACAATGTATCGATTTAGAAGATTTACAACGACAGCACGACGACCGTAATTTACATAAAAAGCTTAAGGCGACTGCTGGAATATACAGAAAACGAAACTATTACCATAGTTAATCAGGATAACCAGATAGTGTTGGGTGAAAAGGAGAAAAGTGATATACGGGAAAATTATATCCAGGAGCTCTTCCATGACGAAAGACCCATGAGTGAAGTTTATATAGACGACCAGTTGACTGGCCCTTCAATCACCAAAGAGGAGATAGAAAAGGCAATATTAAATTCAGTATGGCATGTTCGTAACAATATGTTGTGTATAGTACAGTAAAACCTCGATATAACGGACTACTTGCGGAACGGGGTGTCCGTTAAAGCCGAAAATCCGTTATATAAAAATATTTATAAAATAAATCAAATTACAATTTTTTAAAAATATGTATGTACACTTTAATTATCTTCGGACATTCGTCGTGAAGTGACGTTGCTGTAGATATCGACGCGCTTGCTGTCGGTAATCCTGTTTTGAACAAGTTTCGTTTGCACTTTCGATGTTTGCTGTTATTTCATGATCAACTCTCTAAAATTACGAAAATGTGTAGAACACAGTTTAACTATTTGATGAATAATCATTAAATTTTAGTAGATCGTCGAGATGCGATCTTATGTATAGTCCTACAGAAATCAGTAACTTTCGACACTTTTAAATCTATGTCTGCATCTTGACCATCAAACAAATTCTTCTAACAATTTTTTAATTGCTCGTTGACCTCCTCCCATGCTGCAGCAAAATTAAAAACTGTTGATTTTAAATTGTAAGACCTTAAGTTGTGCAAGATACGCTGCCCTCTTTTATCGTCTGCATTATCTTTATGGTATGATACAACCATTACTTCGTCTAAAAACGTTCTGCGATATTTCGTTTGACTGCCAACGATTCCCTGATTCATGGGTCGAATAAGCAATGTTGTATTTTTTGGCAAAAACATACACCTAAAGTTTCTATCTTCTGAACGTAGAATATTTTCAGAGAAGTAAGTAGGAGCGTTGTCTAATAGCAATAAACATTTCACCCCTTCTGATGGTATTCCCAATTTCTTCTCTTGAAATTTTTTTACTGAAGGTACAAATTTTTTGAAAAACCTTTTGAAAATATCTGAGGTGAACTATGCCTTCTTGGAGCTATATTATGAAATGGGCATAAGATGCATTATATCTTTTAAAACTCTAGATTTTACAAGATTTGCCAACCATTATAGGAGTCAATCTAGAAGATTGATCAGCGTTAGCACAAAGCAGTGCCGAAATCCTGTCCTGGCTGATTTTTCTTCCAGAATTCGATTTTTAAATTAGACCATAACAAACCAGTTTCGTCAACATTGTAAATCTGAGATTTTAATTGTATTTCGTTACTTATATGGGCTACTAATTTTTGCTTAAAAGGTTCCCTTTCTTCTTTTGGTGCACTTGAAGCTTAGCCGTAAATTCTTTTATTCATGATGCCGTGCCTTTTGCGAAAGCGCTGAAACCATGCATCATTTGCTCTGAATGGTATGTCCATATGATTTGCTAATTTAATTGCAGCAGATGTTCGGTTTTCGGAGAGAAATGCTCGGACCATGATCTCACTACAACGTTGTTGGCCATACCATTTTAAGATTGTTTCTTCCATTGCCCCTGAAGTTTCACGATCATTCGTTTTCTGAGATTGCTGTGCTGTCCTACATCACACATTAATGCAAATTTCTTTATTTTGCTTTTATTTTTATGTCCAAAAGTTTGGTTTTTTATGCCGTATTGATCACATATATGAGACACAGACGCTCCAGACTCCAACTTTTGTATATTGTCTAGTTTTTGATTGATCGTTAGATTGATTCTTTTCAGCTTGTCCATATTTAAAGGGTAAGATTGCGAAAATTGTAACTTATTTTCTGGCGTATACTAAATGTGTTCATTCACAATGAATAAACAAGCATTTATTTTTCAGAAATATATATATATATATATATATATATATATATATATATATATATATATATATATATATATATATATATATATTACTATTAGAAATGTGTCCTCTTATGCCAAATTTTATCTGTATAACGATCTCTCCTTATAACGATGAAAATTCCCGGTCCCTTGCATATCTTTATAGAGAGAGGGGACTATACTTCCCATATTAGCAGATCATTTATTTTTTCTTGATTGTTCTTTATCTTCAATATTCATTTACTTCTTTGCGTAAATCAATTATTGAGAAACCATTTATTTTAGGGAATGCAAAGTGTCTTTTTCAACAAAGGAGAGAACTGCATAGCAGCTGGTCGCATCTTCGTAGAAGACAGTATCCACGACGAGTTTATAAGACGAGTTGTCCAAGAAACTAGGAAAATACAGATAGGTGATCCATTGAATAGATCTACGTCACATGGACCACAAAACCACTTAGCACATATGAAGAAATTATTAGAATATGTAGAAATAGGTAAATATTTTTACTATTTTTGTCTTTGACTAGTCTAAGAGAGTAATATATAGTATCTGTTGTATCATATACCTGGTTTTATGATATAAATTTGTCCTTAAGGCATGTTTTATCTTTTGTTAGAGATAATTTAAATACATATTTTGAGGACACAGTTATTGAAGATTCTAAATATTTACGAAAATTAATGAACTTCAATATAAAGTTAATAAATTGTATTCAATATTAACAGTCAAAATGACTCTTTCGTATTTTTAATTAGAACATCTTTTATCATCTTAACTTTCTGCTAAATTAATCAATTGTTTCAACCATATCTTACTGGCGTTTGTCAGTTTCATTGAATTATTTTCTATCTATGTTATTAGTGTCAAAAACTGAACGTATTCTTCAATCTGGGTCAATTTTTAGCCCATTCTTCATTTATTATAGTGCTGAGGAAGTTGTAGTGGCTCACCGAACGGCTCACCGAACTTGGCATAGTACAACGCACAGCACAATACCCCGCACCTAGTTTTGCTTTGCACATTATGCAATTATGCGAAGATCAGAAAGGAATGATTATTAATCGCAGCGTACGCTGATTACATCGACATTATTGCAAGAAGAAAGGCGGACGTGGGCGAATTATTAAGCCAAGGCAAAGAATAGGAGAGAATGGAGACTTAATCATGAGCAGGTCAAGACCCACCATGGGTTGTGGAGGCAATGATGATGATGATTGTTGACTGTAATAAGTGATTTTGTTCATAAGGACTTGTAGGTCTTCTAGGTTGTCCGCAAATACTATGGTGTCATCTGCATATCGGATGTTGTTTAGTCGGTATCCGTTTTTTTTTTCAGTTTCGTGCAAATCTTCGCTAAATATTCATTCAGGGTAGAGATTAAGGAGACAAAATATAACCTTGCCTCACTCTTCTCCTCTTTTTGTCTCCTGAAAAATATATTTGCCACACAGTTTCTTATTTCTCACAATTTTTAGGTGTTAAAGAGGGGGCAAAACTGGAATATGGTGGAAAGAGAGTTAATAGGAAAGGATATTTCTTTGAACCGACCGTTTTAAGTCACGTTGAAGATCATATGTTCATAGCTAAAGAAGAATCATTTGGACCTATAATGGTTGTAAGCAAATTTAGCAATGGGTAAGTATTTGTTATATATATATATATATATATATATATATATATATATATATATATATATATATATATATATATATATATATATATAGTATATAATACCTATTTGCATGTTGGCCCTTTTCTTCTGATAAATAATTCCCAGATGGGTTTTCCCAAACAATAAAACTTAGATTTAGTAGATATTTGTAATAAAATTATTTCGTAGTTACCTTACATAGTACCTGCTATGAATAATTCCAAGAAACTATTATCTAAATATGTACAGAAAACCATTTTATTTATGTGATATTTTCAAATATGTGGCAATATGCTCTTAATCAACTAAATATGAATAGCATATGCATTTATAAAGAAACCCACAAACACTTTGATTTAGACCATTTGATAATTGTGTAATAAACTGTGACCCGGTAGTTTAAAAAGTGTTCGATGTCACAAGAATATAAAAAAAATTACACTCTATTCATCTGACACTCTACAGACGAGCAGAATTTTATATGGTCATGGCGGCAGTCAACAGGGTTTTCATAGCCATGATGATTTCCAATCATCGATAGAAGATGGAACTTAAAGAAGAAGAAAGATCACTGAAACAAAAATAGTCACGTTTATGTGTAAACTGTTATGGACTTTGTCTCTTAAACACATACTCATACTTTCCTTATTTCACTAATAACAGAAAAACAATTATCTGAGTGGAAACATACAGAATGTCCTCAGCTCGCCAGATAGATTCCAATACTATTTTACCCTCAATTACCTTTGTGAAACCAGGCTTTACCATAAAATTTAAAAGAATGCAATAAAGCTGTATTCTAAGAATGTAATATAAATTGTACCTGGCCGTCTACGTTGCGCTGTCTTGACAAAAAAGTATTTGAGACGAAAATATTTCAATAAACGCTCTTTGATAGACTCATTATTCAGAAAAGAAGAGGAAGACCTAGAACAAGGTTCCTTGATAACATCGATGAAGACATGAGAAATATGGGATTACGTGTTTGGCGGAGGAAGGCGATGGATAGAGACGGCTGGACAGAAATTCTTATGGAGGCTATGACCCACGCAGGGTTGTAAAGCCAAAATAATGATGATATTTCAATAAAATCAACTTACAAAATATGAACGATAGAAAATTTTGATTTGGCTCTGATAGTAAAAGTTTTTAAAATTGTAGTTTTGGTTATTTCTTTCACTTTTCAAAATGAAGGATCTTCCGTTTAGGTCCTCAACCTAATGCCTCAATTAATGCTTTTAATAGATTATCTTATAATAATTTTCTTTTTACAGTGATACTGATGGTGTCTTGAAAAGAGCCAATGCGACGGAATATGGTCTAGCTTCAGGTGTATTCACCAAAGATATATCTAAAGCTTTAAGGTTTGCTGAGAAAATTGACGCTGGAACAGTTTTCGTAAATACGTATAACAAAACAGATGTAGCAGCACCTTTTGGAGGATTCAAGCAATCAGGATTTGGTAAAGATCTAGGTAAGACATTTTTTATTACCGTGGTAGCTTCTTACCGTGTTATCACTCCCTAGGTAACCTGGTATGCTGGAATATATCCCACAAATACTTTGGTACGTCTGAATAGAACACTCACTAAGACCCAACTGTTTAATGCACTCTAGTAGGCTTTTAGAAATGATATCAGTAGTCATGGGCCAGCCTCCTGGTCGCAGATCTCTCTCTGACATTACCATTTGGAAGTTTTTGGTTTTCTTCGTTTTTTTTTCGTTCAATCCAATATTAATTTCGGTATGCGATGGTCTATCATTCTCTGTACATGTCCGTACCAAATAAGCTATTTGTGCTTTATTTCTTAGATGATGGTGATTGTTTCGTCCATGATTTTTCTTATTTTTTCATTTGCATCATCCTGAATAATATCTACTGATGTGCGGCAAAAATCCATTTCCAGAACAAGGAGTTTTTGTACCGTTCTCTTAATGAGTTGTCATATTTCATCTTCATAAATTACAACGCTTTCCTGTTTAGAAATAGTTTTAGATCAGAGTTCAGCGCACCTATTATTATCATGCATCTCCTCCTATTCACATGCATTTCGTTTTTGTTGAATTAACATCTAAACCACATTTCTCGTATTTTCTCATATCTCCATTTCTTCAGTGCCTCATTCAGATAGATTTTGAAGCCATGCCTAAGTTCCTTATTTACCATAAAATTTTTCTAGAAATGATTGTTATCCTTTATTTTTGATTGAAGATCGTGGTAGAATCGTAGGATAGCTTTCACAACGTTAGTCGATGCAAAATTATCCAACTCATAATCCTGCTTGCTGTTCCAGCTCCAGATATTCGTATTCTTTTCGAGTAGGTTGTGTCCTCAGATGTTTAGATTTGCAGTTACTATTTTTTCATTAAATGCTTCCTAATTTGTTATTTGTGTTTTAGTTTTTGTTCAATAGCTATAGAAACTCCCTTAGCCCCTCTCTTGTCTTTTGGTACGCCGCTAAAAATGTTAACAAAATTTCCAGCTGGTATAATTCCCTTGCCATTTTTTTTTGTTTCTGTAATGACAAATGTTGATATTTTTTGTTGCTCTAGTCCTTTAGTAACGTCTTCCATTTTACTTCGCGAGCCCTGTACATTCCATGTTGTTGAATTCATTGTTCTATTGCATTGACTTGGTTGTTGGCCATATATTCCATCCAGTATTTCATATCGTCCAGTATTTTCAATTCAGCAGGCTCAATGGCTAAACCTCCTACTTGTATGGCCGAGTAATTTGTTCTGAGGGTGTTCTCATATATCGATTGTCTTTCAAGACTTGAGAAATCGGTCTTCTCTCGCCTTTAGGACCATTGAGAGAACCTTATCTGCTCCACCCTTAGGCAGGGGCCCTTAGACTTACTTACTTACTCCGTGGCGTTACAACCCTTCGTGGGTTTTAGCCGACTCGACAACATGCCTCCACTGTTTTCTGTCTTGAGCAACCTCCATCCAATTCTCCACGCCCATAGTGCTTAGGTCTCCTGCTATATTATCTCGCCACCGAAGACGAGGGCGTCCGCATGGTCTCCTTCCAGTTGGGACTTCCTCCCACACCAGTCTTACTGTTCGTTCGTCAGAATGTCTTCTGAGGTGTCCTGCCCATTGGAGTCTTCTGGACTTTATTTCTTTTGTGATGTTGGCGTCTGGGTAAAGTTCTTCGAGCTCTTCGTTAGTTCTTATCCTATATTGTCCTGATGCTTCATCAAGCACCTTCTTCCTTAGGATTTTTCTTTCCCAAACACGTAGTCTCTCTTCATTTGCCTTTGTTATCGTCCACGTTTCACTTCCATACATCACAACGGGTCGTATGATTGTTTTATAGACCTGTATCTTCGTACGTCGTGTTAGTTGTTTTGATTTTATAAGGTTTTGGAGGGCAAACATACATCTGTTGCCGGCCTGAATCCTGTTGTTTATTTCTTGTGATCCGTTATTGTCTTCAATTATTGTTGTTCCAAGATACTTGAATTCTCTAACGCGCTCAAAGTTAAAGTCATCTATGGTAATGTTCTGACCGATTCTGTCTCTGCTTTGGTTATTGCGGCTCATATACATATATTTCGTCTTGTTTTCGTTGATTTGGAGCCCCATCTTCTCTGCTTCCTTCTCAAACCTTACGAAAGTCTCCTTCATCCTTAATCGCGTGTTTCCTATTAGATCTATATCGTCTGCAAATGCCAGTAGTAAGTTTGGTCCTTCTCGATGGGGCCCTTAGAGGTTACTATTAAACAAAGACAGTTGAACCTTGGTTGTTCTGCTCCTCCTTCCTCATCTCTTGTGTGATAAGGTCCTAGGGTTGGAACTAATAGAGCGGAGTTATATCAGTAATTCAGATATTACAATCGTCTGGATACTTTCCATTGTCCAATGCCTCTTAATGATTTATAATTGATGATTATATTTACGTATTTTAAGATTGTTGTTACATATCGGTATTTTAATAAGGGTAAGCGTTGTTTGTCTGCTTGTTCACTAGTATGAGATACGGTCTATTATGTTCTACGGGTCGATCTGTGTGCATAGTGCAGTTTCAATACAATTTTCATTTTCACGTATAGTCTCAGAGACACATTTATAATACGAGACTTGGTCTGTTTGGATAAGTCAAAATTTGTTAAGTATTCTTACTTTACGCTGAAGATTTCGAATCCTCCCGGCTGATTCTCTGTTATTAACTTTATACCTATCTTCTTAAGCAGTGTAAATAAACAAAGAGTGTTTGCTTGTTATCTTTATTATTTATATTTTATTATCTTTGCATTATAAGTTTGTAAATTACGACTATATTTTTTATGTTAATTCTTTTTTGATATCACTGTTATTTACGTACTAACTTGTTGATTTTTTTATAGGAAGAGAAGCATTGAACGAATATTTGAAAACAAAATGTGTTACCATTGAATATTGAGAAGAGATTACCTGTATCTACTTAATATATATTATTTTTTATATTTATTATATAAAACTTTTTTATACTTTGTATTATAAGAATAAGTTATTTAAGAAATAAAATTGTGATATTTTTGTCAGTTTTTTTTTTACCGAAGATACGACTATCGAGGAAAAACATTTGTTAACATCTGTTTTATTAAAAAATGATTATACTTTATTATTTATAAATAAGACATTTTCAACAATCCACCTAATAGACCAGAACAACTTAGAAAAAGATCCTACAGCATACACAAGGAATAATACGAGGAAAATAACAATACTATACACAAAAGTATTATCAGAAAAACTTAAAAGATAGGAAATGAATTCAAAATATCAACAATATTCAACACAACACACACTCATTGAGATCTCTTTAATCTAAAACTAAATCTAATAATAAACAATACAGAACAAAGAACCTTATGAATGCGACCAGTTTTATTTAGGTGAAATATCAAGACCTTTAAATGTTAAAATAAGTGATTATCAATCTTATATTAAAAATAGAGAATTTGATAGATCTCAAATATGTAAACAACCCGCATGGGAAAATGAACATATGGTTCAACGGATTGATTCGACTATAGTCCTAAAAGAAACAGATGGTAAAAAGAGAAAAATCAAAGAAGCAGCTCTAATTATGCTAAGTGAGACCAACTGGATCTTGTGATCCAGTAGGATCTGGTTACCCATAATAAAAGAGGTACAGTATTATGCGAATTAATGGAATCATAGGCTGTTTTAATGAAAAAACAGTTTATTTAGTAAAAAATTATATTTTGACAAAATTATAAAGGTAAACTTGCATCATTCAGTAGGAAATATGTCCCCCTTTGGCAGCAATTACTGCTTTTACCCGTTTTGGCATAGATTCTATGAGTTTCTGGCAGTTGTCAGATATCCTTTCATCTCGATACCAAACCTGAATGGCCGCTTCTATCATTTTTGTTTTAGTGGTACAGTCGATTTTTCGCAGTCTAGCTTTGCAAATGGCCCATAAATTTTCAATGGGGTTGAGGTCGGGCGAATTACCGGGCCAATCTAAAACATTAATCTTCTTATTTTTGAAAAATGCCATCATTTCCTTTGATTTGTGACAGGGAGCAGAGTCCTGTTGAAAAATCGCTCCTCCTTGGGGTTGACATTTTTAGAGTTGTTTGTCCAAATACTTTTCCAACATGGATTTGTATTTTTGGCTGTTCATCATGCCTTCAATCGGCACCAAAGATCCAACCCCCATGTATGAAAAACATCCTCAAAACATTTTCTTGACTGGATGTTTTACGGTTTGATCAATATGAGATGGTGTAAGCTCTTCATTGTCAGACTTCCTGACGAATTTCGACCGCTGTCCCTAAACTATAAAGTGGGTTTCATCTGTAAATAGACTTTATTCCAGTCGCCTACAGTCCAATTAGAGTATTTTTTGGCCCACAGTAGCCTTTGTCTCTTCATTCGTTCAGTTAGAAGCTGTTTTTTCTGTGGACGAATTGCCCTTCTACCATTCTCCAAAAGTCTTCAACGAACAGTTGAGTCATGAATCACTATAGTTGATGCTGCTAGATCTTGTTGTAGGTCTTGGCTTGATTTTCTTGGGTCCAATTTGCTCTTTCGAAGTAAAAATCTATCATCTGCTGGTGTTGGTTTTCTCTTTCTTCCACATTTTCCTAACCTTTTCACATCCACTGATCCCGTTTCTCGTTTACGCTTCAAAATTTTGCTTACTACCCCCTGACTCACTCCACACGTTCTAGCAATCTCTCTTTGTGACATACTAGTGTGTTAACTCAACGTGACAATCTTTTCACGCTTCCTAGGCGTAATATCCTACAGTACAAAAACCCCCAAAACAACACAAGCTTGGTAAGAAATGACCTAAAACACACTCAAACACACCAGCACACAGTAAGGTTATGTTTTCAATGCTTGGTCAGCTGTCAACTGTGAAGGTAGTGTTGCCAACTGTGAATATTGAAAAAATGAAAAAAAATTCACAGTGATTCCATTAATTCGCACAATACTGTAGTTAATTAAAGCAAAAATACCACTATTAGTAAGTCAGTAACATATTGAGGATACATCAATTATATTATTTTAAATAACAAACATATAAAATCAGAACTTGGTGTTTATTGAGAGTAAACTAAATGTAAGACCAAATACTTACCATGTAGGGATAGTATTATGAGGTTTTTTCCTGTTTTTTTCCACATGATTTACTATGGAATAAATAAAAAGAGAATTTTACTGTCATTATGGCATGTGGTTGTCTTTTTAAAGACGAATTACATGCTATGATTTTTTCTGACGGATATTCTCAAGTTAAAGTTGATTTCATGTAAATGAATATTGAATTATCTACTTTACAATAAAATCGTCCCAGGAACGCAACTCAGTAATATTGGCAATATCATTTTAAAGTCATCTACTTTCAAATGTATAATATATGTTATATAGTATATAAATTATTAAAACAATTTTTCACCAAGTAACAAAAAACAAAATTTGTTTAAGTTATTAATGTTTATATTTTGAGAACGATTAAAGCAGTGAAAATTGAAATTTCAATAAACTTATTTTACCCTTCAATTGTGGCTTATTCCCACTAAAATAGTAATTACTTATGTAGTTAATTGTAGATGATGTGTCTCTGACCTACTATTAGCCCATTAATGTTGGTATATTCTTATTGCTGACTTTTTCTTTCAATATTGGTAACCATGCTACATTCTGTTCACGGGTTTTGTTGCACATTTTTCTTCGCCAATTTACTAGGTACTAAGATATCATAAAATATTCATGCCTTCACCAATGTTTGCATATCTGTGAAGTCTTTGTTTTTGATGTATGTTTCATGCTCATTTATTCTGACAAATGGTGGTCTTGCGGTTTCTCCCATATAGAAATTGTTGGTAATTTGTAAAAACCCACAGGGTATTTTATAGATGCAGTTCTTTGATATACCTTGCGTGTTGTTAGGTTTGGTATTGGGCGTCTTGAAATTCATACGTTTTGAAACTTCCGAAGGAAGAATATTTGTCTTATAAATTACAAATGCTGAATTCCCCTAACTCCCCTAGAGTTAAATTTATACCTAACATGGACGTTGCTAAACACTAATTTTCTTAACGCCGTAAACGGGGCTGCCACTGAACTGAAACTTTATACCTATTTGTAAAATAAATAGTTATAATCATAATAACCGAATACAACAGCCTTGCTTTGGCCATTATCAAATTTTAAAAAATTGTGAAAGATAGACTAGAAATCTGCAAACAAAATTATTTTTCCTCAGAGTATCTAAATTCTTATCCTTCCAATAAACACATACAAAAAAACAATACAAAAAATCTTCCAAAAAACAATACAAAAGTTTACTGAGGAGAAAGAAAAAACTGCATGAAAGAGAAATTATAACAAACCTTTCTAACTGTAGGGACGCTAAAACATGTTGGATCACGATCAAAAGAATACGTGGCAATCAACGCAATATCGGTTGATTTATGTGAATCGAGTTACAAAGTACCTAAATTTTATCCATTTTAAAAACCAGTTGGCAGTTAAAATTTTGGCGAGAGCGTTTCTGACAGTCTAAATTTTGGCGAGAGCGTTTCTGACAGTCTAAATTTTGGCGAATGCTAAACTTTTTATGAATTCGGCGAAATTGTTGATAAGAAATCTGGTTAACGAGGATCTGAAACTGTTTTCTGGTGGCATGTTTAAGTTAAAAATATTGTATTTATATGGGATTAAACCACAATTGATTGTACTAAGAATTACATGTTACGTTTGTTTTTGATGTTTTTATTTCCTCTCCGGAAAACGAATGGATTTAATCCCATATAAATACAATATATCACTGGTTATATAAAAAAAACAGTGAAAATGATTTTAAGGAGTTTCATGAACATTTTACGGATATTTACTTAATTCAATATTTTATTTGTGCGATCTATACATATGACTGAACCAATTCAGAATTATGTTTTAATTGGTATTGAAGTATAATTTTATATTAAATATTATATATGATAATTAGGCAACCAGTTATATATGCTATATTTGTGATTATCTAGGGAGTAATGTCTAAACTTAACAAGAAATTGTTTTAGTTCTGTATTAGTTTAGTCATATACAGTGACTCACAGCTTAAATTACGTAGTAGCTACTCAATAAAACTAGCTTGTTTTAGTGGCTCAATTTTTATTAGAAAAAAATTACATCCTGAAATTAAATTGCTGCAAGTCTTTTATAGTTATTTAACCATCAAGTGTATTAATAAGGGCGATTAACAATTGAAATATTTTAACGCGTGAGCGGAGCGAGCACTTTTTGTAGGACTATTTGTTACATCTCTGACAATCCATCTGTCGTCACGTTCGATAAAAATCTTATTTGGAGCAAACCTTGATTTATTTTCAGTTCTATTTTCAATAACGTTTAATAATGTACTGAACTATTGATGAACATTTATTTACCATTTTGGATATGTCTTTTTGGCTATATCCATTTTTATGGTGAGTAATAATTAAATTTCTATCACTAACCGTAGTTGGGTGATCCATTCTTAAATAATTTTGATATTCGTGGATTAAATACTTTGAAATATCAATTTAAAGATAAAAATATCTGCAATATCAATTTAATGCAACGTCCACTTCGCAAATTTCAAACTGATAAGTTGTGTAATGCTTAATATTATCTGCATCATTTTGGCTGTGACATCAAAATCACATTTATTGTTATTTTAGTATGGTATATTTGACACCAAAAAAAAAATCTTATGCGTTTTTGGAAGACGTATACTAATTTTATTTCAGTATATAATTTAATTTCAGTATATAAATATTAAGCCGCTGACACAAGCTAGTTTTATTGAGTAGCGACTGCATCATTTAAGCTGTGAGACACTATATGTATAGATGTCACAACTAAATTATTAAGTTTATGGCGTAAATATTCTGTTAGGCAAAATTAGAATTAAAATAATTTAAAATACAACGCTAATATAGTACTTATACTTGTTTATAAATAATATTTCTTTTTGAAACTTTTCAGTTAGAGATTGCCCTAACATTATGTATATG